GGCAGAGGTTGACACATCGTTTTAAAACTGACGAGGGAATTCCGTCAGGACCAGCGGCGAATGAGTTCTTCATTTTGCGTGTTGCGGCTATGACCATGTCTTCAGTGATGTGAGGTATGTCAAAACTAAAAACATCACGTGGCATCCCGGAGGTTGCGACCAACACCTGTGTCGGTGAAGCGGAAAAATCGTGGAAGACTTGTTTGAATCAACGAGCAAACAAGCTGCATTTTTCACTTTCGCTGCAGGCCGTATCATCTCCGAGGAACATGGAACAAGGCAGCCCGGATTCTTTCCGTTTAGAATTTATAAACGACCAAAAACCTTTCGGGTTCGACCGAAGGTTCGCTTCCGTGCGTCTCACGTGCCGATTATAGAGGAAGTGGTTGTAGTTTCGATAGTGACACTTCGAAAATAAATTACAATGTTCCCTCTATTGTTGGTCGTCAGATTTTCGAGAAGGTGTTTGTCCAAATTGATTCCTAGTATATCAGAAATAAGTCTGGTACATCTGTAAAATTTAAGTAAAAATTCACCAAATGGAATACAGGCTAAATATCTATGGACGATTAATATTCCCTTCTGTCGAAAACATATACAAAGTTGAATTTAAATCGGCAAGATTCAAATCTGGTAATTTACTTATCTCGCGAGGCAAAAAAAACTACTAAAAGATCGAATGACAACAATGAATATTGAGGAAGAACCACCGGAGGCAGAAAGAAATTCCGAAGTTATAGCCAAAGTACGTGCTGCTGATGCAGGTATTGTGGAAGAAGAGATCATACACGAAACGAAAATTACTTATTTGATTCATGTGTTTCACTTATACATTTTAACCAAAACATCAGCCTTATACATTCCATAAGACAAACCACATAGGTCGTATATGAATGCATAAAAGGTATGTGTGACCGCTTATACATTTCATTTGACATATGATCTTCATTAACTTTTTGCAAGGCGTCTGCTATAAGTTGACTTATACATTTTATGAATAATCAGCAATAGAAATTTGCCAAAAGGTATAAGGAGATTTCTATCCGTGTAGAATCGAGATCGCGAGTGTTATCCAGCGAGTGGAGCAACACACAGAAAGTGCGGAAAAATTAACCGGATATTCACGATTTACTGACGGAGGAAAACACATTGCAAGCTTTTTTAAATTCTTGATATATTCTCAGTGGAAAGTTATGTTCATAAACATAACAAACCTAATTATTATTTTCAGTTGATAAATAATCAATGGCAGATTTATTTAGAGGATTGTTTTAAAGTTTTCTATTCTTTTTTTTTCCAAGATTTGATTTCCGTCGATCTTGTTTTCCGTGCTGAGTACCAATGCCAGGCCAGGGAGGCAAGCTCCCACAACTGGACCCTACCACCTATTGACCCATCAACTCATGAACCGGGGACCAACGGCTTTACTTCCCCGAAGGAAGGCGTGATCAAAGATGTGATGCCTCAGAACATCCCGGCGGCGCCGACTGGGATTGAACCCAGGCCTGCTGGGGTGAGAGGTAATCACGCTTACCACTACACCACCGGCGCCGCTAGGTTTTCTATTCTTAGTAAAGGTCAATGTTAGTAGATGTTTATCAGAAGTAGTAGTTCAATTCTCCTGCCTATCCTAGTTTGCGTTTTTCATTTGACTAACAAAAACTTAGATTTGTATAGTTTTCTTAGGATGACATGTGACTGGCCGTTAGTTTTTTTGTCATAACCATTAAACGGTAAAGCATACCTCTTTGTAATTTTTGAGTAAGAGTAACTTACTCGGAGTAAAGGGTGATACGGTCAAAATTTGGTCAAGGGAAAACGCGTGTAAATCGGTGAAATCGTTTATTTAAAAAATCAAATTAAATTTCTTTTTCAAGTTCAATTAGTATAAAATTCAGGAAAAATATTCAGTTAGGCTTCCGCTTTTCCAAATCCAAATTGCCGGGCCTTACGCTTGACCCCTGCCATCAGATTTTGTACAGCCACCTTGTCCATCTTCTTCGCCGCAGAAAGCCAGTTTGCCTTGAACTGCTGCTCGCCCTTAGCAGTTTTTTTTGGTCTTCTTTAGGTTCCGCTTGACAATAGCCCAGTATTTCTCAATTGGGCGGAGCTCTGGCGTGTTGGGAGGGTTCTTGTCCTTGGGAACCACCTGCACGTTGTTGGCGGCGTACCACTCCATGGCCTTTTTACCGTAATGGCAAGATGCCAAATCCGGCCAAAACAGTACGGAACAACCGTGTTTCTTCAGGAAAGGCAGCAGACGTTTATTCAAACACTCTTTCACGTAAATTTCTTGGTTGACAGTCCCGGAAGCTATGAAAATGCTGCTTTTCAAGCCACAGGTACAGATGGCTTGCCAAACCAGATATTTCTTTGCAAACTTTGACAGTTTCATGTGCTTGAAAACATCTGCTACCTTTCCCCTTCCTCTTGCCGTATAAAACTCCTGTCCCGGAAGCTGCTTGTAGTCGGCTTTGACGTAGGTTTCATCGTCCATTACCACGCAGTCAAACTTCGTCAGCGTCGTCGTGTACAGCCTCCGGGATCGCGCTTTGGCCGTCGTATTTTGTTTATCATCGTGATTTGGAGTCACTACCTTCTTGTAAGTCGATAGTCCGGCTCGTTTTTTGGCTCGATGCACGGTTGTAGACGATACACCCAGCTTATTTGCGGCATCTCGGAGAGAGAGGTTAGGGTTTCGCTTGAAACTACCGGCAACTCTCTTTGTCGTCTCAGCGGCTTCCGGTTTTCGATTTCCCCCCGATCCAGACTTCCTGGCTGTCGACAAACGTTCCCCAAACACTTTAATTACATTTGTAACGGTTGATTTGGCAACTTTTAGCGATTTTGCCAACTTTGCGTGCGAGTAGCTCGGATTTTCGCGATGCGCGAGCAAAATTTTGATACGCTGCTCTTCTTGCTTGGACGGCATTTTGACAACTGAAGAGTGAATTCCAAAATCAAAATAGGAGCAACATTCTACACACACACACCTTCAAAATGAGGGGTGTTCAGGTTTTTTAAATGCAAAATTGAAAGAAATACGTCAAGTTGATATTGACCAAATTTTGACCGTATCACCCTTTAAGATAGGGTAAACTTGCCGTTTATGAGCCCTTTCCTTTCAGTGGACCACTTACGGATTTATTAAATTTTACATAAAAATTGGAATGATTTATGAAGAGCTTTTTGAGTGTGTAGATTTATTTCCTTTTAATTCCAATATAACTGCTTATATTTTGACAGATATGCATATTTCGTCTACTACTTGCAGACTTCATCAGTGCCAAGTACTCAACACCACTATTTTGCATCGGAATCATAGAAAACATTGGTCAAATACTAGTTAAAACATGGAGACAATATGCACGGCAGGAGTTGTCAAATAAACGATGGGTCCAAATTAAGGCAAGTAATTTGAATGTTTGGACATGACGAGAGGAACAACACAATAGTTGGGTAAAAAAGAACTGCACCATCGACTGGAAATGCTCTCGCAACGTGGGGCTTTAGGTAGTGATGAAAACGTCGCTAGAACTATTCCACAGCCGCAGTCAGTTTATGAGCAAAAAGAGGGACGCACATTTTTGCCTGTGGACTTGGAGACATACTTCAAGTCCCCGCGTACATCGTACGGGTTAGGCAAAAATGTGCGTCTATCTTGAAAAACTGACGCATTAATGGCCCTTCGCTCATTTTCAACTTCTATTCAATTTTCATACTGCCGTACTCTAACGGAACTATCCACCTACCCTCTTCTAAAGATCATTCTCTAGCTAATAAATCATCACACTAAAGCTTCATGTTAGCATTTCCAACCAACTCTGAAAATCGTTAACTTCGCGTATGAAGTAACATAAAAAACACTTTGAATGTTCAAAAAAATATTACTCATTAACGAAAAAAACACATCGCTGATATTTTATATGTAGTGTAAAGGAGCCTAAACAAGGATAAATATAAAATCATATTGCGGCCTCTGTCTACAAACCATGAAAACCATTAAAAACCCAATCCAATCAATGTTTTTCAATACAAAATCCCAATATTTTAACATCATTATATTTTTCCTAAAAAGCATTTTTAATTATATATTTTTTAATTACCTTTCATTTAATATTTTGATGGTACAAAAGTTATAAATCTAAAAAAAGTAATTTTTGAAAAAAGTCATTTCTTGTATGCGAGTCTAATATTTTGCGATAAGAAACAAAACTACTATTTTGAAGAAACTCTGAGAACCACTAAATCATTTTGATATGGAATGGCTGCAAACCTAAATATGGAACTCCACTTTTCTCTACAGATTGAACACTAAGCCAATCAATCTTAAATTAACTATATTCTGTACGATTTTTTTTAATCACCGGGAAGACAAAAATTTACTACCAGTGTTAGTTAGTTGCGAAAAGAACTACCTTAGGAAATAGTTCCGACACTGTTCCGAAATGTGTTGATGGTGTTTTCGGAAACAAATTTAAAATAGCGTTATCTGTAACAAATCACGTATACACATATACAATATTTTGGTTTAAATGCTGCTTTGAAATCTGACATATTGACCTACATATTGATACGACGGTGCACACCGTCGCCGTCACCAACACCTATTAAAATCAACGCCGTCACGACGCCACGCCGCCGCCGCGGAGGAAAAATATTGCTACGCCGCTGCCGCCGATGAAAGCCCAGAGTAAAGGTCTACTTCGTACTAGTACCATAGAGGTAACTCTATGGTACTATCTTCGGTCCCAAGCTAATCGATGCATTTTATCATTTTATCTGTCAAAATTTCACAGCGAATCAAAACAAACATAGTGTAGTACTGGAATTTATACTAGAATGGGATACGTTAATCGATTTGCTTGGGACCAATAGGCTAGTCAAGTAGTGAGCCAATTTAGAATCGTTAGTTTCGAATTGATTGTTGCTAGTGCGAACTATAGTCAATACAATGTTCTCGCATACGTCTAAAAGCCAAACCTAAACACAATACATACCGTCATCCATTATGGCCGTAGTAACATTCTTTCCAGTGATTCCTTGATCCCAGGCAGCTTGCACATTTAGATCAAGTCGCGGCTTTCCTCCATTTTGCCCAGTGTTTCGTAAATACCATTGCAAAGGGAAATAAGGGTCAGTTGGTGCTTTCCCTACATTGGGATCTGATTTATCCGGAATAAATGTTGCTGGAATCACTGTACGTAAGCCACGTTTGACGCGTTTAAAACCAACTTGTTGGACAGCAGCGTTTACCTGCAAAAGGATTCAATAAACAATAATGATGTAAAGCATCTAACATATTTCAATCTTACCAAAGCTTCTTTCTTCAACACCCTCATATGGGCTATACTGCGACGAGTTCTGGCATGCGGGAGAGCTGTATGTTTGAAGTGGAACTCTCGGCCTGAGCTGCCTGCGAGCTATATCATGAAATAAAAGAATAACATTTTGTACTATCCAACATTTTGAGATGCAAATAAGTGTTTGTATGTTTCAATTAATTTAACCTTTGAGTAATCGCGCCAGTATACTAAGTACAACACGAAAAATCTACTGTACTTTGGAACTCAATCTATGTGAAACTAAATACGTTGGATGAAAATGAATACCCATGACCAATAGACCAATGCATAAAAAATATTTTTTATCATGTTTCAAGAGCCCTCATAGTGAAAATAACATACTATTAAATTTTGTATAACGCGCGAGTCCTCGTGTATCATAAGTTGGCGCGAGTACTGAATAAAATCAATACTATTTTACTAGTTTTCAAATGAGCATAAATAAAGTCTGGTTATCTCAAACTGGATTGTAAATCATATCTTAAAGATAGTTCACCTTGTTTGTATAAATATCCTCCACATTTTGAAAGTAACAAACATTGGTCATGTCATGCCTACTAGGAGATCACTTTTTTCTTTGAAAATGATGTCTCGAGCAAAGTTTTAGAAAAATCAAAACAAACAATTTTGCTCAAGAAGTAAAAAATCTATGCCCAGAATTATGAATAGTTTTTTGAGCACATGTTTTCAGTGTTTTATTGTTTAGACAATAATCAGACAAATCTGGATATTATCTAGACACGTGTTTGTCGAAGACTGTAAGTAACTATAACTGTTCCTTGAAAAGTAGCAGCATATTTTGGATGTATTTTTTTTATTAAATTCATGCGCTTATAGCAAAAAATGGGACAAGTTGAGACACAAAAACAACTCATCGTCTTGAAGTTTAGGTCAAAAGCTATTAAGATTTTTCCAATTTGTTTATTTGTTAAGGCTCAAATGTCCAAAAGAACTCCACGGAGCCGAGAACCAGTAAATAATTTTATAATTACATACAAATATCGATAAGGAACATTGCTTATGAGGTCTTCTTACTTCTACGACTTGAACTTTGTTTCCGCTTTCTGCCGTATTCCCTTGTTTTTTTCAATTGTTTTGAATCTTTTGAACTAATTTCATAATATAAAGTGGATATTATTTTTTTTCAATTTATCAATCAAAACTTCATGCTAAACACTGTCGAATGCTTTTTTCTATGTCCAGAAGAGCAACTCCAGTTGAGCAGCCTTCAGATTTGTTTGAACGAATTAAATTGGTAACTATTAAGAGTTGATGCCCATGGCGAAATCCAAACTGCTCATCTGCAAAAATCGAGTTCACATTGATGTGAAGCATCATTCTATTCGAAATGACCTTTTAAAAAAGTTTACTTATTGAAGAAAGCAAGATTATTGGACGGTAGTTAGAAGCTTCAGCTGGATTTTTATCCGGCTTCAACATTGGAACATTTTTTGCATTTTTCCATTTATCAGGAAAGTATGCCAAATCGAAACATCTGTTGAATAATTTTTACCAAGGTTTACCCAAGGTACTCTCTGGGAGTTTTTTATGAGGATATAGAAAATTTCGTCCACCTCGAGCTTTCATATTATGAAACTTTTTAGTTATAGATCTTACTTCGTCCAAATCCGTCCCCCAGGAATCATCAAAAATAATTTCCCTAGATAAAATATTCTGATAATCCCGAGCAACCTGATTCTCAGTAGGACTAGTAAGACCCAAACTGAAATTAAAGGAACTCTCAAATTGCTTAGCAAGCTTCTGAGTTTTTTTTTTTTAATTTTTGATCAAAAGTTTACCACCTTCTTTAAGCGCTGGAATAGGCTTTGAGGTTTTTTCAATTTTTTTTGTGGGTTTGGAACTCGGGTCTAATTTAAAAACATTATTTTCAAATGTTTGATCCTCAGGGCAGAGAATCGCTTTAATTTGTTTTTGCAAACTCCGCCAGATAACTTTGATGGCAGGATCGCGTGTTCTTTGATATTTTTAAGATGGAGCTGAAGATCGTCGTCTATTATAATTGCTCTTGTTTCAACTATAGGGATAAGAAATTATTTTATTTAATAAAAAATAAATATAAAGAGAGAGAGAGAGAGAATGATTAGTAATTTCCATTTAATTCCACTGACTTATTTGCTTATCTTTGACAGATACGCGTATTTCGTCTACAATGTACAGACTTCTTCAGTGTCTTGTACTGATACTCGACCGTTGTTAACAGCAGATAAATTAGTACCTGGTCGGGACCGTGGAGTGCTACCTACCTATCGTTTAGAACGAGATTGAAGGATCGCTTTGCAAGTCTTACATTTCCAAAAATTGGATTAGTGGTTTGCACCATAATTTGAACATTTAACTTTCTTAGGATCTTCCTTCACCAGGACAGTCGTCCTTTGCTTAAGAGGAATCACCACAATTCATGCATTTAACTGGCTTGTAGCATTTATTTTTGTTCCGTGACCCCATCCCTGGCACTTACGGCGCTGGGTGAGGTTTCGGAAATTTCCTCCAGTCTTCCTGAAGTGTAATTCCTAGTAATTTTGCCAGTTCACCTTTGATTTGATCCAGGGATTCACCACTGGGCAGACCTTTCACGACAACCTTGAACACAGTTCAGTTTTGGTGTCGTAAGCAAAAAAATGGTGATGCTTCTCAGTAAGATATTTGAGAAGAAGTTTGAATCCGTCCAAGGTTTCAGCCAACACACGGCATTCACCCCAACGGCCAATTAGCAGTGAAAACTTTAATTTATTTATTTATTCATTTTGTAGAGCATGGAAATCGGAAGTGGTTATCACAATAGGGGGAATTTTTTCCTTCTTGGCATTAAGCCGGGAAAGTTTACTAGAATTTTTCCTGGATGATGGATCATTCTCATCATCTTTGAGCAAATTAAATTAATTGCTCAAATTAATTTCATCAGAAGGGGGATCAAGAGATTGCCCTTTTCTTTTGCGCATGGCCACAGTAAAGCTTTTATCCAAATCGACTTCCAAGCAGATTGCTATAATAATCTCAAGAATTGAACAGGAATTTTCCATTTCGATATCCAAGCAGGATTACCACGGGTAGTGTCCAAACAAGGATCGAAGAGGAATAAGAGTCGAACAAGGTAAAAAATTTACAGGTATATTGAGCACTGAAAAGTGCTCTTTAATTTGTTGTAGCTTTAGGTAGGAGTAACACACTAACGATTATTAACCTCCAGTCACTACATTAGCGTAGGTACTTGTACTGCTGTTTTCTTCATTCCATTTTTGATTTTCTTCTTCCGTTTGTTACTTACTGGCTGCTTCCGATCCTTTGGCTTGGGGCAGGAATTCATCCAATGCCCTTCCGTATTAAAAAGGAAACACTAATATTTTTTTTTTCTTGATTGAAAACGTAACCCTTTGGATTGAGGAAATGCAGTGAGTTGGGAATATCTTTTTTTACGTCCATATATACACCCTGTAAACCTGTGTACATGTCGAGGCCCAAGTCCGTCGGGATTTTCTTCACTTCCGAACTTTAATTTAGTGCTGGTGACACAAAATAAGGTCCTAGCGTCTTCAGAAGAATTTTGAATATTTAAGTTTCGTGTTTTGTCGACTACGTCCGCAAGAGCATCGACGTGGGTTTTCTAACCGAAACCCACCTAAAATCAGGTGACAGCTTCTGGTTGCCTGACCACAACATTATCCGGCTTGATCGCACCAGCTCCAGGGGGGTTGTAGCGGTCATCGTCAGGAAGGGAACCAAGTTCGGCACTCTGCCCTACATCCGCACTTCCATCAACGAAGCCCTTAGTGTGTAGGTGGAATCATTAACTGGAAACGTCCGGCTTATCGCTGTTTACTGCCCACGCCAGTGTACTTCAAGCAACGGACTATTAATCCAATTCAAGAACGACCTGTCCACCATGACCCTTGCTAGCTCCCGATTAATCGTTGGGGGCGACCTGAATGCCCGCCATGAAACTACCAGCGGAACCAGAACGGATGTCTATTGAACGACCACGCACAACATGGACTCTTCACTGTGCAGTTTCCGGACAAACTAACTTTCATCTCTTTAGCGGGAAATCCCTCCACCCTGGACGTTTTCCTGTCAAACATCGGACTATCCAAACCGGAGGCGCACAACGTTTTCATCTCCTAACCTTTAACTCCGACGCAGGCAACGACTGTAATGAAATTAATTCCATTAACTACTGCTGCACACTTAAATGAAGATTTTCATTCTCTAAGTAGATGGTTGAAGTATAGGCAAATAAAATTGAATATAAGTTAAACTAAATTCATGGTAATTTCGCTGAATCAAGTAAATGAGAACGTCTCCGTTGTAATTGATGATGAGACTATTGATCGCGTTCGGGAGATTAAATATCTTGGCGTGATTATTGATGACACACTTAAGTTCAACTCTCACATTGACAATTTCATCAAGAAAATTACCAAGAAGTATGGAATTCTATGTCGTTGAAAAACGATTTAACTATTGCCAGTAAAATACAGATACAAATCAATCATCTCTCCTCATCTAGACGTTTGCCGTTCCATTTTATTTCTGGTCAATGCAACACAAATATCGAGATAACAGCGCTTGCAGAATAAAATAATGCGTTTGATTTTGAGATGTAATAGATTCACTTCCTCAACTTTGATGCTAGACGCCTTAAACGCTGTACAGACTGGAGAGTTATAACATGTTATAACGGTTGTCAAATAATTGCAACACAGAAACCACCATCAAGATAACGCTATAACTGTTATAACTCTGTAGTCTGAACGTACTATTACAATGGTTGTCGGTGAAGCAAAGAATTGTATATTTGACTATGGTGTTAATTTTTAAAGTAGTTAACGGTATTTGTGTGATCGAATTGAAAGAGGAAGTGATTTTCATAGATAAAATACTAGAAACGGTGGAAGAGGTGAAACAACCGACGGCTGAAAGTCTCTTTAATAGAGAAAGATAAGATAAGATACTAGAAACGCACATAAAATAAGAACACCACATTTGTATTTGTACTTTGCTGAAAATTATGATAGCATCAGATTGCGAGGTTGCTAGTGTAATAGGATGCTTTGTTGATT